TGAATGTTGGAATGATTCTTCCTCCTCCGCACACTTTTTTGTGTTTTCCCATCGCCTTGGTCAGTCTCTCCAATGCATTTGTTTTGGAATCTCCCCTTTACTAATGAGCCTGTGGGATCATGGGCTACATCCTTTGTCTGTCCCCGAAAGTTCTGAATAAGTTGTCCTGTGCACAGTAGGTTCTCAGGAAAGGTCTTTTGCGTTGAACATGAGTTGTTCTTCTGATGGGGCAGGTGCCAGGTTGTGGTGATCTCCCTTGTTTATCATCATAGTTAGCAGGTCTGCACAGGCTCTGGATTATCTCAGAAAATCCACCCATTTCCTCATCATGGTGACCTTTTCTTCCTGGAAGCGTATGAGTGCTTAGGGGGCTAGGTGTCAGCTCACAGGAAGACTTGTCTCCTCTGTATATCCCTCTAGGTTCTCTCCCTTGCAGAGGAAGAGTCCTGAGGCATCACCTGGATTACTCAGTTTTTCCTAAATCTAGGAAATTCCAGGAGTTGAAGAATCTGAACACGGGGTTGCCACAGAGAGTGCAGAATGAAGGCAAGAGCAGCTGAGTAAGCCTTCTTCCTCCAGGGAAGGGCGTCCCACTGTCTTCCCCCAGACTGTCACTGTCAAATGACATAGTTTTTAAGACTTTAGTTTTCCTTAAAAAAAAAATGGGGGAAATGATCTGTGCTTTCCTGTACTGTCCTCACAACATGTTAGTTAGCTCAACACAACTTGTTAGTTGATGACAGATAATTTTCAGATCTTGGACTTACTGGTGAAACATTTTGTGTGACTGGTAACTATTAAAACTCAGAGGCTGAGTAGGACAGGCACCATGCACTGTATGGGGTTGCAAAGGCAAAACCCAGTATATATAAACTAATCATTTACATGGGATTACTGTGAATCACAAATTGTGATTGTGAGTGGTAAATTTTGGTTTCGTTTGTGACATTTTTTATTTCCTATAGAAAACTGTACGGTTTGATTTTGTCATTGAAGGGAGTATGGCTGCAGGTTTGAACATAAAGGACTCAACTTGCAACTCTGGGACTCATGACACTGGAGAAGAGGGGTGGAAAGCCTTAACCTACCTTAAAATGAATTACTGGTTAACTACTATTAATAAGCCGTGGGCCTAGAGACCAGCATATACCATGCCAGGATCAATAAGGGTATTTATCACGTGTGCGTATTGATCTCTCATGAAGGAGTGAATCATATTTCACAGTGCATACGTTAGTGCAAGAAAAAGTAGCAGAAGGGTTGTCAAAGAACTGGAAGTCTTATCAAAGAACTGGATGTTCAGAAGGTGAGCGCACGGAGCCACGCATGTGAGCATTAGAATCAGAAGTGATCATCTGCCAGCAGCATCTCTGCAGCTGTGCTCGAGGGGAGGTGGAGTGAGCTCTGTCCTGGTCTGTGGGAGGAGAGCTGGTGGTGATTTTTCCACATAGAGACTTCTGCAGTTCCTGCTGCGTTTCCTAGCTGTTGGATCCAGTCCTGCTGATCTTTCTTCCTTATTGTACAAATAAGGACTGTATACCAGTAATAACAACACTTAGAACATCTAACTTCATATTTCCATTTGCATCTTGCAGAGGACCTATGGGTTGATAATTCTGTAGGGGAGCACTGGATAAGAAAGCTACCACATTCTCTTGGGAACAATATTGTTGTGCTTTCTGTTATTAATATCACCGTGGAGTAACTTTGGCCAATTTTTATTCTAGAAAAATACAGAGTGAAATCCAGCTTAAGAATTTTCAGCAAACTTAAGATGTTTCCTTTCCAGTCTACTTCTGTGGTCTCTGTACTTAGCTGAATTGGCATGCAGTTTAAAGGTCCCTATCACAGTTCACGTGTGGCATAGGCTGGTGGGAGAATTCACAGTCATGCCAAAAGATCTGATAAATATTGGCACATTCAGCACAGGTTTGCAGAGCCAACTGTCAGTTCTTACTGTGATTTTTTTTTTCTGTGATTCAGAATGGTTATAGTTAGGAGTAGCCTATTAATACTTTGTATGTGGAAAACTACTTTTAAAAAATTATATATATATACAAACATATACACATATTTTAAATTTCGTGTGGTTGGTTTATATATTTTGTAGCTCATGAGTTGGAAGCTTTACTATTAGGTTCATCACCAGTTAATAGGGATACTTAGCCAACTTACTGGCTTTGATGACTTCCTGGTGTTGTCGAGAGTGTCTCTAGTTACTATGGGGAATTCTGCCATGGTCCCTGCTGCAGCAGAGAAAGCACATTCTGCTTATATTCTTACTCTCCCTTAGCCTGGCTGAGGAGCTATACGTTCCTTCTCAGGCTGGAGTCACTCAGCAGTTAAGCAAGGGTCAGAAGGGAAGCTGTATGGCTTCTGGTCCCTATTCGACAGATACTAGCAGTGTACCTTGGTTGGTGAAGGGAATTCACAGAACACCAGACATGCCAGCGATTTTCATGAGATTCCTTCTTTCCTATTATGGTCTCTCCATCATGTGGCACTTAGATTATTGCTTTTTAGGTTTCTCAGTCTATGCCTACTTTTCCCAAATAGATTGAAAATTCTTAAGAAGAAATGAAACATATAAAATATTTCTTTGCATCTTTGACAGTGTCCAAAGCAAAGCTTTGGACATAACTGTTATTTGATAACTAATGAATGAATCAGAAATTGATATAAAAATACAACTTAAGGTCAAGAATAAATGTTTTTTGTATTACCTGCTCATTCAGTTTGTCCAGAAGTCTTAGGAGGAATAATAAAGTTTGACTCAGCAGTGCTGCACCTAACCAAATGCCTGGCACATAGTAGGTGCTTAATATATATTTGTCAAATGGAATAAGTACTTGAATTGTTGAATTAAGTGTTTGTGGTTAGAACTAATGAAAGCCTGGATGTAAGCCATGAAAATCAGAACCCTTTGGCAGCAACATACACACAGCACACACAGCTTATGATCTGATGTACTCATCTCTTCTGTTTCCTTGCTGCTTGACTGCTCCTGGCTCTCCAGCAGGTCAGCTCCTGCTCCACCATGCTAAAATGCAAGACCCTGAAGACCTAGTTGTCTCATGGTCTTTTCTAGAGCAAAGTTTGCTTGGTCTCTTAGTAGCAGTTGACACCGCAGCCTGCCCCCTCTGCTGCCCATGGCAACTTTGCCCTCCATGACATCGCATTCTTCCTTCCATACGATTCCAGCCTTGAGTCTCTGTTTTCCTGGAAAAACTCCCTTTACCCCCTCCAGATGCAGCCAGTTTCTCCGGTTTGTGACTCCTGGATCTCAGGGTCCAGTCTCAGCCTCCCTCTCCTCTGCCACACCCAGGCTCCTGCCCTCTGCCTCTCCTGCATCTTAATTCCTGATGTCCCATCAGCCCCCCACTTCTGTCAAGTGTCATCCCCCACATGTCCCCTGAAAGAGGTCCCCTGTCTTACATTTGTGTTCTTCTGAGGTCTCTCCCTGAACAACTTCGGCAGCTCCCTGCCTCTGGTCTCTCTGTCCCTCACTTGTCTTAAGAATTACATTGGGTGAGTCTCTGCAAAGCACAGCTCTAGCTGTGTAACCTCCTGGCTGAGAAATCCTTGGTGGTTCCTGCTACATCCTAAGGAGAGTCCAGGGAGCTTGGACTATGGCTTCCCTCACCTTGCCCTGGCGCCTTTCGGACGGGAGCTCTGTCCCTGTTGTCACCCGGCTCTTCAACCCAGCCATCACTCCACGCTGTCCCCCCACCTTCCTGCCTCCATTCCCTGTCCTTGCTGACCTTTTCTCCTTCCTCTCCTTTCTTCATTTTTCACCTATTTCTTGCTTTTCTTTTAAGGTGAAATCAGATGCAGTTTTCTCCAGAAAGATCTCCTTAATTCCTTCTGAGGCTGCAAGCTCTCTCTCCTTCCTCTGAGTTTCCATGGAAGTTGACGGGTATTGCTGTGTAGTAATGGGTGGTGGTGCTTCTGTAATCCCAGCCTGTCTTTCATCCTAGACTGTGAACTTCTTACGGGTAGTGACAGCCTGACACTGTGGAGCCGTTTCAGGCTTCTGGATCAGCTCTTAGAACATTGCTTGATAAATGGCCATTGGATGGATAACTTAGGAGTTCATTCAGTTGTTGATTGGAATTGACCATAATAGTTTAGTTTCTACACCAGGAGTTGGCAAACCACAGCCAAGGCCCACTGCCTGTTTTTGTGAATAAAGTTTTGCAACGCAACCATGCTGCAACGGTGACTGGATGGTCCACAGAACCTGCAAGAGTTTCTTACTGACCTTTTACAGAAGTTGTCTACCCTTGGTCCACACCATTGTCCAGACTTCTGAAGGATACAGTATCAGTTGTGGAAGGAAGTTAAAGAAACAATGTTTGCTTAAACTCTTAACCTGTTGCTTTGACATTCTGACACATCTATGTGGCTGCCATAGTTAGGGTTCTGGGATATTTATTTACTTTATTTAAAGTGACGTATATTTAACTTTATAATTAAGAATGCACAGACAGGTTAACTAGATTTGATCTCCAGTTTCTTGACATCGGGTTAGGAATTTCTGGGTTAGGAATTTCTGGGTAGACCTTACACTGTCAGCCTTCACGTAATTAAAATTCCCTCTAGAAGATTTTTGGTGTTCTTGTAAAAATAATCAGTAAGGGTCTTTCAGCTGTGCCACTGGACTGAAGCCATTCTTAGAAACCCTTCTTCATTTTGGCTACAGAAGTGGCAGCAAATGGTTTTGCCTCTGCATATTCAAAGTGCTTTTCTCTGCACGTCTTCGGGAGGAAGGTGATACGTTGCCAAGGATTAGAGGTAAAGTTTTGCGGACCTCCACATTAACACCATGTTGTCTTTTCTTTCTTTCTTTTTTTCTTCCCCCTTTTTAGAGGGACGCATGGCCATCCAGGATGTTCCTGCTGTTACCAGTGTTGCCAAGGATTAGAGGTAAAGTTTTGCGGACCTCCACATTAACACCATGTTGTCTTTTCTTTCTTTTTTTTTTTCTTCCCCCTTTTTAGAGGGACGCATGGCCATCCAGGATGTTCCTGCTGTTACCAGCAGAGGGCACGTGGAGAACACACCTGACCTGGTTTCAGATTCCTCCTACTACAGCAGCTTCTACCAGCCGTCTCTGTTCCCTTACTACAACAATCTGTACAACTACCCTCAGTACTCCATGGCCTTGGCTGCTGATGCCTCTTCTGGGGATGTGGGAAGTCCCCTCGGGGGATCCCCCATGAAGAACAGCCTACGGAGCCTCCCAGCACCTTATGTGCCTGGTCAGACAGGAAACCAGTGGCAGGTATGATACTACCCAGAGAGTGGTCGGGATATATGGAAAACACACACACACAGAGGTGTGCACACACGTGCACCTACACATACACACATGTGCACACCCAATTCTACATACATGTGCAGTTACAGTATGCAAAATGTGTAAAGAATTTTTCACTCTGCCAATAACGCCATTTAACCCTGCAGAGGTTGGCTGCAAGGAATTGTAAAAAAATATGCATATATTTTTTCAAATATTGCTTTTCTCATTTTTTTCAATGTCATTTTGCATAAATACCTAGCTGACAGGAGTCAGACTCACAAGTAGCCTCTGGATGAGGCCCACCCCCCCCCAGCCTTGTCTGCCCGTTTCGTTGAGTGGCTTAGAAAATGCCAGGTGCAGCCTTCTGGGTGGCAGTAATTTTTGTGATGCATTTTGCATCCTGAGGAGGAAAAATGTTATAATCTGTGTTTTTTTGTGGAAGAAAGTTAAAAGGAATTAGGTCACTGTTTTGCTGGGCCAACTTGGGTGTGTTTTTAGTTAGGAATGGAGGTCAGTCTTTCATCATCTAAGTACGTATTTTAGAAATAGTGTGCAATCAAGAGCTTTTAATATTTGGAGTAAAACAAAGCACTTTGCTGTATCAGGGAAGGAGCATCTATCTGGAGCTGTTCTGCTTCCTCGGTTGTAACCATTTCCATCAGGCCAGTGCATTAGATTCAAGGCACCAAAAGCATTCAGAGGCTAGGTTACCATGTATGTGTGGGAATATGTTAGCATGAGAAGTTAAACTCAACACCTCCAAGCCCTCATCCAACTGAAAGGCGTTAGGATTCTGTGAGAACTGCTCTCATTTTAGATGCATTTACCATGCTCAGGCTTTCTCCTTTGGGATTTGATTCTAACAAAATGCAACATGTATATCTGGGAGTTCAGTGCAAGTGTTTGACGTTCCCTTTTCTTCTTTTTTTGTTTCCCCAGCTTTTAATGAGGTATGATGGACAAGTAAAAATTGTATATATTTGAGGTATGCAGCATGATGATTTGATATGTGTGAATTGAACGGTGATGACCGCAATCAAGTTCATTAACACATCCGTCATCTCACATAGTTGCTATTTGTCTGTGCGTGGTGAGAACACTTAAGGTCTACTCTCTCAGCATTTTTCAAGTATACAAGACAGTATTGTTAACTATAGTCTACATGAGACTCCCAGAACTTATTTATCTCGTAACTGAAAGTTTGTACCCTTTGGCCGACATCTCCCCTTCTCTCCCACCCTCCAGCCCTGGCAACACTTGTTCTACTTTCTGCTTCTGTGAGTTCAGCTTTTTAAAAAGTCTTTCACATTCTCAAGCCCACTTCAAAAAACGTGAATTGAAATTTTCCTATAGGTAATTCTATTCCATTTTGCCTCTGCCTTTTTTAGGCGTGGGGAAGTTGTTAATATTCAAGTCTTCCCACATTTTGGATTTTCTTGCGACCCTCAGGGATCTGGCTTCTGGGGCATATTAAAAACTCAGTTTTAATCCCCCGAAGTACACATTTTCCTAAGTTTTCCATTCATTTTATTTTTGGAATCATACTTTTTTGAGGGGAGGTTAAAACACATGGATAATAGAGTTGAGAGGTAATATGAGCTAGAGGGGATGTGATAATTTATGGAAATTCGAGCTGGACCCCTTCAGGCTTCTCAAAGTGCAGTTGGATTTTACAACGTGGGGCAGGTTCTAGGTTAATTCCTACTGGAGACTCTCCTCCCTAAAGGAAGAAAGAAGTATCTTAAAGTTTTAAAAAAGCATCTTATCCTGCAGATTCCTAGGAACCAGGGGTTGCTACTGGGTGTCCTGGTTTGCTCGCTGCTTCCAGACTTTGAAGATAAAGTAGGTGGGAAGGTCTGTGAACCTGTTGGCTTAGGTGATAAAGGAAAATTCAAGTGTTTTTCTAAAAGAAAGAGCCAGCTCAAGATCAACTTTAGAGCCAAGTCAGAAATGTCCTAAGTTATTTGGCCCTCCGACTTAGTCAAAATCTCTCAGATGATGCCTGACACACTAATATTTATTTTTACTCTACCTGGAAAACCTGGGCAAGGTATGACAGAGGTCTTGAATTTCCTTGGATGTCTCCCGGGGACAGCCCAGGGTGACGAGCTGTCTGGGGCAGCACTATTGCCTGGTCTTTGAGAGCTGCCTCACTTTCTGTGCCCAAGGACAGATTCCCCTGAGGGAAAGTTCTGCTGAGAGAGAAGCTTGACTCACAGTGTCTACCTGCTAGCCAGGGTGGTAGGAAAGATCTTGGTTAAACTTTCGTCGTCCTTTGGGGATATGCAGTTTGGATGCTTAGTGCCTTCCCTAGAGCTGGACTGGAGAGAAGCACTGCTGGTTAGAGCCCCAGGAGAGACACTGAGGCAGCATTTAATTTATGACTTTGTTTTCACAGAGTCCTGGGCTTAAGCCATCTTATTTCCTAGCCAGTCACTGTCAGTGATGCATTCTCATGTAACAAATTATTTTGCAGCAATAGGTCCTTCTCTCCTACTGTGGGTGATGCTCATTCTTTTTAGTTAATAACATCAGTAATGAAAGTTTTCATTTATTGAGCAGTTAATCCTCCTCACTGCCATAGGGGGCAAGTGGCATTGTCCCTTTTACAGGTGAGGACATTGAGACTCAGAGGGCAGACTTATCTGAGGTCGCATAGCTACCAGATGGGAGAGCCAGGGTTTGAATCATGCCTGTCTGGCTCCAAAGTGTGTGTTTCAGTACTGTCTGGTTATCACCGGGTCTGCTTCGAATTTAGGGCTTGGAAACTACCTCCCAGGAGTCCTCTGTGAGCTGAGACCTCTGGGGAAAGTGTAGAATGTCTCAGCAGTTGAACTGTGCCTGTAGGAGCAATGAAAACTGAGGCCCTCTAGTTTTTTAGGGCTTGGAATTTCTACCTAAGTCCTTTGTTTTCCGTTGGGAATCATCTTGGAACTCTCTTCTGATTTTCTTTCTTCACTTGTGGATGTCAGAAATGAGCAGAAACTTCTAGAACAGTGCTGATCTGTCATTACTTTAGACGGCTGAGGAAAGACCCTGATGCTTTCCTGAAATATGTAGTCTTGGCCTCAGTATTTAAAATATGCTGAATTCCTTGCTATTTCAAAGTTACTTTTGGAAGCTGCATACTGATTTTCTCTGGATGTGATTATCACTAATGCACATTCAGGCAAATGTGCAACACGCGTGTAATATAAAAAATGATACTAACAATTTGCTTGAGGGGTGCCTCCATATGGCCTCTCTGTTCCTTCTAAGTCTAACATTTTATGAGTGTGTATTAATCTTTTAACCAAATGTCAACACAAGTGTGTGACTTACAGTTTTTTAGTCATGCCCACAAGAATTAGTTCTAGTGGAAATAAACTATTACATTAAAAATACAAGAGCCAACGTAGATATAACCCATCAATTTGCAAAATGACAGATGAAAATCAGTCCTGTGATGATCAGAGCTGAAATGGATATTAAAGAGTTCTAGTCCACCCCCTCTTGCTGCAGAGAAAACTGAGGCCAGGAGCTGAAGGGATTTGCCCAGCATTTCAGTGGGTTGATGACCAGAGGTATATTGATTTAGGGGAACAATAAGGCATGCTTTAGAAAACACGGACTCGGGCCGGCCCGGTGGCGCACTGCTACAGTGCGCCACTTGGGAGCGCACTACTACAGTGCGCCACTTGGGAGCGCAGTGGCGCTCCCGCCGAGGGTTCGGATCCCACATACAGACCGGTTCCCGCTCACTGGCTGAGCGAGGTGCGGGCACAACACCGAGGGTTGCGATCCCGTTGCCGGTCCTGGTCCGGTACGGGCGCGACACTGAGGGTTGCGATCCATTGCCGGACACGAAAAAAGACAAAAAAGGAAAAAAAAAAAAAAAAAAGAAAACACGGACTCTGCAAGATCTCTGTTCAGTTTGTGGTTTAATGATGTAACCTTGAGCAAAATACTTAACCCTCTGAATATTGGTTTTCTTATCTGTAAAGTGGGTATAGTACCATCTTCATAGGAATGTTGCATGGATACATAAGACAGTGTGGTAACTGAGTGAGATCATTAGTGTGTGTGTAAACCATGAAGTGTTAGCCAATATTAACTGTAATGTGTTTCAGTGATCATTATTTCCACTTGCCCCCCCCCCCACTTTTTAAACTATTCTTCGCCATTTGTTCGCATGTATTTTAGTTAGCTATCTTAGATTCCTTTTGTGACAAGATGGCGTATAAGTAATGCACATTTTAATTATTATTACAAGACTGTGGCATGTGAATATGGACTAAGTATGAATGCAGCATGGTTTTATATCATTGGGGAAGGATTTGATCCATATAGGAAACAGAAAATGCAAAGCATAGGTAGAGGTTATAATGATACAACATATGTTTATTAAGATGTTATAAAGAAATATTAATGAAATAGTAAAAACCTACAGATAATACTTTTAGCTAATGTTGAAGGCATAGGACCTGGACAGCTCACTTTTAAACCAGAGTGATCCTTATAGCAGAGGTGTCGGGTACAGTCTAGGATGGGAGAGTTCCCCCCTCATGTTGTTTTCTGCTGTTTGTTTCTGCTCTTTGGATGGTGCCTCGCTTCTCCTGGTGGCAGCTTCCTAGGGAGTGTGGGGGGTCTCTCCCTTGGTTTCTGTCCTACTTTTCTACCTCCTTTGTGGAAGGCCCTCCAGCTCCACCTGGAGAACACCTGTGCCGTTCTCTCCTGACTGATTCCCCGGGTCTGACTCTGGCTCAATGTAAGGGCTGGAATCTGAGGCCTTGAAGAGTCTCTTTCATCTTTTCTTGACTCTATTGCTGAGACCTGACTTTCCTTCTGACTTCACCGCACAGAGTCCTCCTTTTATGTTATCCTGCTTCCCTAGCTGCTTTGAGTATCAGTGTGTGTCAGGGGAACTGTGAATGTCTTTCAGCCAAGAGCTAGCTCTTTTCTGGTTCCTAGAAAAAACTGACTCCAGTGGAGAGAATTATAAT